GTAATAAGTAATAAACAAGCAAGGCAATAAGTGATAAGTTGAGTACACGCGGTCACATGGAGCATCAAGAAGCAGTGAGACATTTTTTATATCGTAGTGCTTTAAAAGCATGGGCCCTGTAACCAGACTGCCAGGGCTAAAAGACAACAAAAACAACCAGAAATGCTGTGAGACCTCTTCTTGCCTGTTTTCTCATTTGTAAAGGTAGGTGCCTCACGGTGCACCCGTGGTTCCTACTCATAGCACGGTGCCTGGCACACAGTGAGTGCTCAGTACGCGGCCGTCGTCGTTTGTTGGGAGTGTGGATGGCGGTGTCTCCGGTGAACCCTTTCCAGGCCTGCTGTCTGTGTCAGATGCCTTTACCTTCACTGTATTTCCCGCCGTCTGTCAGCAGTCACTGGAGAACAGCACAGTGCAATTTGGAACCCTTTACTGCTCTAAGAGTCAGTCTTGGAATCTTTTTGATATCATAATTTATTTTAGTCAGGTCTAGAATAATTGCCCTAGTACTTCAAGGCTATGAGACAGGCCAGTTTGAGCAGAGCAGTCAGAATGAAAATGTTCTGGCTTGTACCATCTTTTATTAGCCCATTTGCCTCTCAGGTAAAATGAGGAGAAACATAAATTATACCGTCATTCTCTGACTGCTCATTGTGTGTTTTCTGTCGCTCTGAGTACGGCAAGTAGATGAAACTCAACTACCTGTTTTCCTTTTGTGAACTAATGAGCAATGTGTGTCCTAAGGCCATTTGTCTTTTGTATATTGCTAGTGACACTTTTCTCTTTTTGGTTATAAAGTTATTGCTTGTTTGTTTGGGTCCTTTTGGCAAAATCGATTCCGCCCACCCCGTCTAATTCTGGTGATCTCCACCGTGAGCTATGTCGGCTCCACCCACTTACGGACTCACCAGCTTCCACCCTGGTCCCGGGGGCTTCTAAGAAAGTCTGACTTTCTCTTAAAATTAAGACTTGAAGACAAAGGGGACATCTTTGTCAGCTTTAAAAAACAAAATTAAAGTGTCCCTGGAATATTTTTACTATATACATATATAAAAGCTAACTTCAATTTTTCTTATTTGTGGAACTGCCTAAAAACATTGCTTTTTCTTTTAATTCTCTGTGAAGGGGTTAGTTCAAGTTGACATTGGAAAACATTTAAATCTAATTAGAGCAAGGATACTGTAACAATTTCCACAATTTCCACAGAATTCTCGCCCCAGTCGCTATGTTTTATCCCTGTAGATCCTGATTTCCTCCTTTCTGAACTTCATCTTTAGCAATCACATTATGTACGAAATTACCAAACCTTTTAGCTCTTACCATATTTGATTAGAAAAGACCACAAGTGTGTGTTTTTCTCTTGTTGCCATAGTCGCCATTCTCTGAGAGGCTGGAGAGCGACGTGTGCTAGTTAGGTCTGTCTGCCCAGGAGGAGAGAGCCGGTTCTGTTTATAGTGGCATGCTTCGTTGAAGGGAACCACTTCAAAGGAACACGATGGCCATACTTACCTGAATAGGTTGGCTCTGAATAAATGGTTTTTCCTTCTGACAGTTTTAGTCATTTAATTATAAATGACCTGTTATGTAATTATAGAAATGTCTCAAATATTAAAAAGAAGAAAATGGTGTAATACTTTAGCACATTTTATTGAAAGCCATGTTTAAATATTTTCTCTACAAACGTTCTCAGCATCAAGAAACTTGGCACACAGAAAATGCATGAAACCTGATTTATTATCAGACTGAATCTGAGTAGTAATAACCTCATATCTCTAGAAGGTACTGTGTAAAATGCGCTACCTTACTGATCACCAAAGACCCAACATTTCTGTTAGTAATGACATTGCTGGACCAGAGGAGAGACCTGCTTTCCTCCATAAGGATTATTTTATTATAAAAAAGAAAATTGTGTTTTGAACTTTAGTTGTACAGATGAAAACATAACAATGAAATTGTTTTCCAGCAACTGCCTCTTACTTTCAGATATTTCCTAAGATGGATCTATTAGCATTTGAACTTGAAAGAAGATGAAAATATTTTGGACTGCCATTGAAAACATCCCATTATTCTTAGTGTTCTCAGCTACACCAGGTCTAGTTAGTGGTCTGCAAGTATGTGTCTGGAGCTTCTATTTTTATGTCCACCATGTAGACCCGTCCTTGGTCTGTTTCCCACATCGTAAACTCTGCCTGCTGGCAATGACCACATCCGTGTCTCTAGTCCCAGGTCCATCCCCTGAGTGCTGCGTTTGTTCCACCCCCTGGAGCCTGGACATCTCCATGTGGAGCATCCCTTGCAACTCATGCTTTACAAGCTACTGATTTCCATGCCGTCCTGCTCCTCCTGTGTTCCAGCTCAGTTCATCCTTGCAATCCTGCTGGTTGCTCTGGTTCAGAGCCACAGAGTCCTCTCCTGTCTTTTCTCTCCTATCCCTGTTCTACCCAATCAGGCCACTTTGTGGTCAACATGTTCGCATTGTATTTTCTCACTTTCATGCCTTTCATATAGTCCCATCCACCTAAAAGGCCCTAATTTGGACCTAGATCTTCCCCGTCTTTTAAGTTTCTGTTCAGTTCCCATCTCCTTCACAAAACCTCCTGAAGCTCTTCATTGGGATTCACCTTTCTCTGTTCTCCCACTTTGTTTACTAGTAGCATCCACAATTTACTTTTTTCTTAAATTTTATGTTGAAAATTTTCAAACATTCAGAAAAGTTGAATGAATAGTAAGATAAACACTCAGATACTTGCCATTTTGTTGCAATTGCATCTGCCCGTCAATCCATCATGTATTTGTATGCATTTCAATGTATCAGACACTTTTGCATGCATAGCATTAACTAAAGTTCATTGTTTACCTCTTAGGTATACCATTTGATGAACTTTGACGCATGTATACACGTTTATAACTCAAGTCACTCTCCAGATATAGAACATTATCATCACACCAGAAAGCCACCGTATGATCTTCTCAGTTGATTCCAATCTCCACTTTCAAAGGCAACCACTGTTATGATTTTTTTTTAACCATAGATTAGTTTGGCCCATTTTTTAATTCATACAAATGAAATCAAACAGTAAGTACGCCTTTGTGTAGGGCGTCTTTCATTCAGTGTAGTGTTTTGGAGATTCATCCATGTTGTTGCATGTACGAATAATTTGTTCCTTTTTGTTGCTAAGTAATATTTCATTATATGAATATATCACAATGTGTTCATCCATATTCTGTTGGTAGGAACCTGTGTTAGTTCCAGTTCGGGGTTGTACAAGTCCTTTGTTTGTTGATGTATACTTTTGTTTCTCTCGTGTAAATACCTGAGAGTGAAATTGCTGGGTCATAGGGTAGGCATATGTTTAGTTTTATAAGAAACTGCGAGACCTTTTTCCAAAGCGGTTGTATCATTTGACCCTTTCACCACAAATTTATGACAATTCAGGTTTCCCACAGCCTTGTCAACACTTGCATTGTTAGTTTCTTTAAATTTTAGCTGTTCCGGTGTGTGTGCAGTGACATCTCATTGTGGTTTCAGTTTTCATTTCCCTGATAACTAGTGATGTTGAGTGTCTTCTCAGTGCCTATTAGTTGTATGTATTTATTTGGATTTCTTCTCTTATGAAAGGTCTGACCTTGTGAAGGGTCAAATCTTTTGTCCATTTGTAATGTTTAAAAATCTTTTTATGATGGGTTGGAGGAGTTTTTTATATATTCTCAATACCAGTCCATGTGAGATATAGGTTGTGTGAGTATTGTCTCCCACGCTGTCATTTGCCCATTCATGTTTTTAATGGTTTCTTTTAAAGAGTGGACATTTTAAATTTTGATGAAATCTAACATACAATTTTTTTCTTTCTTGGTTATTGCTTTCTGTGTCCTAAGAAACATTTGCCCACCTCACAGTCACAAAAATATTTTGTTTTCTTCTAGACACTTAATAGGTTTAGCTTTTACAATTAGGTCTGTGACCATCTCAAATTAATTTTTATGTATGATATGAGATAGGGGCCGAGGACAGTTCCCCTCGATATAGATATCCAGTTCCCCACAGTTTACTTTTGTGACTGTCCTTCTCACCCTCATATTGTGACTTAGCCTACTTGTCTTTGGGTGCTCATGACCTGGCCTTATCCTTTGCACACAGAAAATGCTCAGGACATGTTAATTGAATTGCATGAAAGATTAAGAGGATAATAGAGGATTCTGGCAACCTTTTAATATCTTGGCGTTGGAAGTGGTTTTATGGGGTCCATCCCCCAAATTAAATGTCAGCATATAGAGCCTGCTCAACCCTTGAGTCAGTGTTTTCTGCCAAGAATATAGATTGAAGCAACAAGTTTGATTACTTGAATCTTTGTCTTTGGCTTCTTTGGAGTGAAGAAAGGAGATAAATTTAGCTTTTTATTGAATTCTTAATACATGCTAGATATGGTGTCTCATTACTTTCTACTATATCTTCTTGTTTTATCTTTGTAACCTTGTAAATTAGATGAGGAAATTTGAGTACCAGAGACTTTAAGTGACTTCTGCATTACACAGTAAGTTGCCAAAGTAGGAGTTCTCTAAGACAGGAAAATTTAGAGGAAAGCCAGTTACTTGATTCTGATATAAGATTTTTGCAAAAGAATTAACACTTGATCGATTTTGAAATATATAAAACTTGATAAGGAATTAAACTTCTTAACTTCTAAATCATCCCAAAGATAACTAAAAAATTCAGTCTTCTAACACCCTACAAGTACATGGTAATATATGCAAAGATAAAAATATATGTGGGCCTAAATCTCTAACCTAAATGTTGATTTGACAGTAAAAGTGCATTAAAATCATAAATAGCTTCAGGGTCCACGTATTTCACATGACTTTAGGAAATGTTCTGGTAATCAGGTTATAGAGCCAAATGCTTATTTCAAAACGCCGGATGTTTCTCTAACCAATAGATTTGTGTCTTTGTCCCTCCCTGTTGTCAAGCGGTGAGCATGTTGCTGACCTTTTCTTGTTTGCAGGTATGCTTCAGAAGTGCCCTTCCGTTGACGACTTTGTAAGTGCTCTCGTATCTGACTTGGACTTGGACTTCGAAACTTTCCTCATGGATTCTGAATAATCGAAACACCCTGAGTCTTTTAAATCAAGCCCATGTAGATATTAACCTTGTTGTAAATGCTACAGCTGTGCAAACTTATTTCTGATTTCAGTATTCACTTCTGTAATAACTTTTGAAAAACCTTAAACTGATGGAACTTGGAATAAATAATGTGTTTTAATTGTGCTGGCTTTTCACCTATTTGGCAAATTCTTCAACATATGGAAATCTACTCAGTGAGCTAATAAAAACTACACTTCCATATGGAGTTGTTAAATGTAAGATATGGTCATTTCCTTGGTAAAACCACTCTCCCACTGAACTTTTCCCCCTTTATATTAATGTTTAATTGGTTAAATTAGAGACTTAATTAAAAGCAAAATTAGCTTATGACACAGTTCAAAGCAGTCTTCACACATACAGTTGTTTTAAGAATGATAACCATTTCTTAAGACCTTTATACTGGGCTTTGAAAAGCACTTTGAGTAGTTACCTACAGCAGCCAAGAAACCAAGTATGGTTCCCAAAGTACTGGTAATGTCTGCATTGGTTCTTTCTGAGTGTTTCAACACTATGCACATGAACTCAGAACTTTTCAAGCTTGACTATGAAGGTACAGTTAATAAGTGCAGGTACAATTAATAAGTGACAAGCCAAGGTCAAAGCAACTGGTGAATAAAGAAACTGGGATTTAAACCATGTCTTTCTCCAGAACCCCACTGCTTTATACTAGTGCATACTGTATCACAGTATGTTAATACCAGGAAGGGGGTTTTCCTACCATTAAAGTCAAGAACTTGATTATAGAGTTTCAGTATAAGATCGAATCTAACAGCCTCTTTCTGCTTCTCACTAAATGACCAGTGATGATGCAAAAAGGAAAGATTAAAAATCCCTAAAACTCTAGGACACATTCAACCTATTCACAGAATCTGGAGAAATTTCCACAAGTGCAGAAACAGATGTGGCCAGATAGAGAAACATCATCAGTGACCCACCAGTGCCAGGTCCACCTGCTGCAGTGGGGACCAACCCTTCATCCTTCCCCACCTCCTGCTCACACACAGAAATCCAAATCTGTACCAGCTGGTGCACTGCCGAGGGGGGCTTTGACGGTGACTCTTCCTGCTCCTCCCTGTTTAAATTTCTGCGTACGTGAGCACCTGGAAACCTCAGCTCTCAGAAAACACGTGGGCGGGAGTAGGCAAGCCTAGCAGCGGTGTCTCCTCCATACCCAAAGCGAAGCTGAGGAAGTAGGCCAGGGATCGGGGTGCTGTTTGCAATAGGAGGGGCCCTGATGCCAGTGCGCAGAGAGGAATCCAGTTGTTTCTGTGTCCCACCCTGTTTATTCACAGAATCTGAGCTAGGGTAAAGAAAGATCTTACCCTGACAAAGCTGCACTACACATATGCCAACTCCGTTCTGGGAAATGGAAAAAATTGACAGATAAATCTGAAAAGGTGCTTCAACCAGCACCCAGGTGTACCAAGAGTTACAAACTCTTTATAAATTCCTTTTCAGTTGAGGGTGAGTAAGCAGACAAGGAAATGTGTATGGAGCTTATGTGCAAACGTTCTTCAGAAAAAGGACAGAGAAATGTCACCTGGAAGATACTGAAAAATCATAACTTTGAAAATTATTTTTAAAAGGAACCAAAGCACATTAAAGAAAACCTCTCTGTATTCTTAAAATTCAAGAAAACACAGTATTTATGAAGCTGAAAGCTATAAAGAAAGAAGCAGCAGAAATAAAAAGGCAATAGGATAATAAGCTAAAGAGGAAAACGGGTAGAATAAGGAAGAAATGCGGAGAAACTAAAACCACAGTACAATGATTTAAAACCAATATCAGAAGCAGAGCAAAATTGTTGAGGACAAACTTGAGAAATATCTCTCCGAGTGCAGGTGAAAGGGCATGATGACAGCAAGAAAGCAGAGTGCAGGTCCACCCCTCCGTCTCACATAATTCCCAAGCGTGAAGCCAGGCCCACTGGGACAAAAGTAATAACCAAAAATAAATTCTCTGTACTCTGGTATTCCCAGGGCTCAAACCAGTAACTAGCGTTTAGTAGGTGCTCTAGAGAATAAATGAAATTCAGTGGATGTAAGAAAACTGTTTTGAGGGCCGGCCCGGTGGCGCACTGCTACAGTGCGCCGTTTGGGAGTGCGGCGGTGCTCCCGCCGAGGGTTCGGATCCCACATGCAGACCGGTTCCCGCTCGCTGGCTGGGCGAGGTGTGGGCGCAACACCGAGTGTTGCGATCCCGTTGCCGGTCCCGGTCCGGTATGGGTGCAACACTGAGGGTTGCGATACGTTGCTGGACACACACAAAAAAAAAAGGAAAAAAAAAAAAAAACTGTTTTGAGCTGAAAAGAACAAAATGAGTGAGTAATTTAAGGGAACCCTTGACAGTGGCACAGCAGTGCAGATGTCCTTAACACCCCTGAGTTACACACTCATAAATGGCTACGGTGGAAATTTTTATATCATGTATGTTATATCACAATTTTTTAAGAAGAAAAAAGGAGAATCCTGAATACCAGACTAAAAAACAGTGAAAAGAGACCCTCACCTGGACATATTCTACTCTTTTTTGAGAATTTACACATAAATAAAATTATAAGCCAGTATATCCCAAATTGAGCTTTGCAGAATGCATCTCAGAAACTGTTACTTAATGTCCCATGAACCCAAAGGGATCCTGTTGTTAAATGCATTTGGGAAATGCCATGGAAGCTTTGACGGTTCACTGTGCACATCAGCAAAGCTACAATTGCAAAACATATTTAGCACTGCACACATGGCTCAAAATTCCCCGTACATACTTGATTATGAGAACTACCTACTGACATTTTTCAGGGCACTGAGAAATAACTGCTAGAAGCATCCAGCTAGATATATCAGCCTTACCTGTACAGGAATAGAAATGGTGGTCCCAGAATGCACCTGTTCATCATTAAAAGCCAAAGGACGATGAAAACAGTTTTGAGAAGTAAAGGCTGAGATGCAAAATGACATTCTCAGATATACAAGCATTCAGGAAACATCTCAGCTTTGTACCCTTCTTCAAAAATTGCTGAAAGAATAAGTAATTTTGACCAAGAGGCAGAGCAAAGGAAATCTCTAAGGAACCCCTAAGAACGCAGAGGGGTCACTGCCTCTTCAGAGTAACAACTGGGTAAATCGTAACAGCAAATCATTTTATTGTGAGTGTTTTCCCTGTGGTGGGAGTAGACCCATAGCACGCAGCAACTTCTCTGGGAGAAATTCTCTCCTGTAGTTATGGTTTATCACCAGCTTCCAAAAATCCAATTTGAAGTACTTATGGATATGTAAGCACTAAAAATAATCTATAAAAAGATCTGGAAGATAATGAATAAGATGTTAATGTGGTTGTCTTTAGATGGTAAGATTTTAGCTTCATATTTTTCTCCTGTCTTTATTTTTCCATTTCCAATTTTTTTAAAGTAGCGATGTGTTACTTTTCATAATAATTTAAAATTTACAAATAGTTTAATATAGTAATCATGACAGAGTCAAATTTAAAGCATTTTCCCAATTCTGAAGATGTATTTGGCTAATGTAAACAAATTCAAAAAATTCCGAGTCATTCAGAGAAAAATTTGTACAGTCAGTTTTATTAATACCTAAGGTTTAGTCTGATTTGGTAAAGTGATCTAGATGAAATATTAATAACAATAATGCTTGACATTAATGGAACGTTTTTCAGTTTATAAGGAACTATGTCCTACAGTTATCGCATGTGATGCCCGTCACCTTGTGATAACAGAACACTGTATACATTTCCTCTTCCCTGATGAAAACAGCAAGCATGTTTGGAAAGGATGTCATGGGGCAAGCTCTTTAGAACCTTTGTCCTGAACTCCAGAGGTTTTTCGAAGCTGTCTCCATTACCTGTATGACTTAAAGACACATCACATTCAACCTCCAAAATCAAACTCATACCGCTCCTGAGTCACTGTCTTGACCAGCGGCATCACAGTCTTCCCAGGTGCTCACACAGAAGCCCTGCCAAGGATGAGTCGCTCCTCGCCCTTGTAATTGGCACAGTAGTCCCCCTCACCCATGGTTTTACTCTCTCTGGCTTCAGTTACCCACAGTCAACTGTGTTCCAGAAATATTAAATGGAAAATTCCAGAAAGAAACCATTCATTCATTTTAAATTGTGCACCATTTTGAGTAGCGTGATGAAGTCTCACCCCGTCCTGCTCTGTTCAGCCCAGGACATGACTCATCCCTCTGTCCGTATTTCCACACTGTAGACCTTTGTCCAGCACGTCCACGCTGTAGACGCTCCTGCCGTTAGTCATGTCACAGTGGGGGAAACAGTTGTCTCTATTATCAGATCGGCTGATGCAGCGTCACAGTGCTTGTATTCAAGTCACCCCTATTTTACTTCATAATGACCCCAAAGCACAAGAGTAGTAATGCCGGTGATTCAGACATGCCAAAGAGAAGCTTTCACATAAAGGAAGCACTTTATGTGAAAAGGTGAAAGTTCTCAATAAGGAAAGAAAAAAAAAAGTACCGAGGTTGCCAAGATCCAGGTTAAAAACTTATCTTCTATCCATGAAATTGTGAAGAGGAAAAAGAAATTTGCACTAGTTTTGCTGTCACACCTCAAACTGCAAAAGTTACAGGCACAGTGCGTGACAAGTGCTTAGTTAAGACGGAAAAGGCATGGAAGACATGAGCAGAAAACATGTTCCAACTGACAGCAACATGTTGCACCAGAAAGAATTGAGCCTTCAGCAAGGAATCCCCTGAAACAAGTGTTACCAAGCACTCTCTGTAAGTGAAAGACAGCTACACAGATTCAGGAATAGGTTTGGAATGAAAAACATAAAAGTCACTAGAGAAGCTGCACCTGCCAATGAAGAAATTGCTGCCACACTTCTGGCACAGTTGAAGTTGATTAATGAAGAAAGATATCATCCAAAGCAAGTCTTCAATTGTGGTGAAACTGGGCTTCTCTGGAAGAAGTTGCCCAGTAGAACCTACATTCATAAAAGTGCACAGGAGGCACCAGAGCATAAAATATGGAAGAATAGATGAACCCGGGCACTGTGTGGCATGCTGCAGGCCTATGATAACGCCAGGGGTAGTGTACAGAGAGGGAAGGACGTACTCACTCTCAAACCCAAAATGATCTGCTCATGTTCTGGC